GTCAAATGAAATAAACTCATTTCATGCACTTAAGCTGACCAAACGGAAAATGTTCTTCATGCTTTTCATCATCAAGGTCCTAGGTTATTTGACTTGATTCTAAGCGTAGTATGAACGTACATCTTCCTAAAGGCAATTATGGCTATTTACAAAATCAGTGATGTCTCTGGAATTTCCCCCAAACTAATTCATAAGACCCTAGCATTCGACATTTACTTTCCTGGGAACAGCTGCTATTCTTGGTTATTTGTAGCATTTGATCATCAAAATAATAATCTGTTAAACAAGTGCTGTTGAGACAGGTGCTGTGAATATAACACTTGTTATATGATTTTCTGATGTAATCCTTCCATTAGTCTCATAGACACTTGTTTATAGGGACTTTTGTCCCTGTGTGTGTGTGTGTGTGCGTGTGTGTGTGTGGTGTGTATCTAAGGGGGGGTTGTGTTGTGTGATGACAGGAATTCACCCAGGGACTCATAAACATATGCGAAGCTCTCTGAGCTACATCTCCAGCCCTGCTTGTCTACACACTTAATGAATAAATTATTCCTGATATATTTAATTCACTGGAACGAGTTCGTAGTATGAAATGGTATAGTAACTAAAGTTCTTTTTAGTTTTATTGCGCTTGAATTTACATATGACATAGTATGAGTTTAAGGTCTACAAAATCCTACAATTTGAATTAAAAGGATATCTGTAAAAAAAAGTCTTATTATATTTTGATTATAAAAATATTACCATAATAATATCGTTTGACATGCATCACTTATATTGTTGTAAATGTTCTGTGTGATAATAAAACTTGAGAACCAATATTTTAAAAACCCCCCAATATGTGGTGGTGTGGTGAACTAGAGTTATCATGTTGTACATTGGATTCCCTGAAATTATCTGTAAATTTTGTTAATATCTTTGACCACTTTCACACTGTTACTCTAAACTTTGCCTGTAGAAACCATAAATACCTTTTTTCCTTGAGATTTTTTGCTTGTTTACATCCTACATATGACAGCATAAAGTATCTGTCTTCTCTCATTAGCATAATATCCTCAAGAGCTGTCAAAGATGTTTCAAAACTAAGGATTTCCGTTGTCATTCTAGAGTAATATTCCATTATGCATGCATACTGTTTATATATGTATATATACTCATATGGTACACATGAATGTATTTTTATATATCTTAATCGTCCATATTTATGATTATTTCTTTGGTAAGTGGACCCTTAAGTTAATAAAATGACTTATAAATAATGCTATAATTAGCATGAGCAGATATAATTCTGCGTTATTTCCTTTCCTTTAGATATATACTTTAAAAAGGAATTGATGAATATGGTAGTTCTATGTTTAAATTTCTGAGGAACTTCCACATATATTATTTTGGTGGCTGTACCAATTTACATTCTCAGCAACAGTGCAAAAGTTTAACTGAAACCCAAGCACAACAACTTGTAAGTCTAAAACTGAACCTCATGGTGTTTCACTAGTAAAACAAAACAAAAAGTTTTTATTTTTTCTAGGAGTTTATAGTTAGCTTATATGTAATCCTAATTTATTTGGTGCATGATATAGTTTTTGTGACAAATTTGCAGGCTATCGAATATAGCCTGCCCACAGGGCAGAGTCTGGCAAACTCCCCGCGGCGTACCAAATATGCCAAATACCAGTAACAATGATGGGTCTCATTCTCCTAAAGAGCTTGAATATAATCTCAGGGCTAGGATGAAAGAGACGTTACTGGGGCCTGCTCGAGGCAATCGACGATTAACAGGATGATGAATGAATGAATGAATGAATGAATGAATAGTTTTTGTGCATGGAGTGATATTCTTTTCTTCATCTCTACGTTCTTCAATTTTAGGCTCCCTGTAAAGTTGACCATACAAGGATAATTTTATTTCTGAATTCTGATTTTGTTCTATTGGTTTATATGTATGGCTTTGTACTAGGGTTCTATTGTTTCTATTATTATAATTTTGCAATACAAATTGAAATTAGTATAGATAGTGAATCCAGCTTTATTCTCTCAAGATTACATCATCTGTTCCGGATCTATTGTGCTTATGTAAAAAAAAAATTAGGATTGTTCTATTTCTGTGAAAATTGTCATTTACACTCTTGATTAGGGTTGCACTGAATCTATTATGTATTTTAAATCATATTAATGTTTTTAAAGTATTAGTTATTTCCACCCTTGAATGTGAGATAAATTTTTATTATTTGTATCTCTGCTTCTTTTTTCAAAGTCTAACAGCATTCATTTCAGAGGTCTTTAACCTCCTTGGTTAAATTTATTCCTAAGTATTTTAATTGTGTTTGATGGTCAATAAATGCAGTTGTTCTTTTTTTCAGATTATTCATGTTATCACAGAAACACCACTGATTTATACATATTGATTTTGTATCCTGCAAGTTAGTTAAATTAGTTAGATAACAGTAGTTCCTGCAGTAGTTAGGATGTTCTACATATTAAATCATGTTATCTACAATAGAGACTATTTTAATTCTTTCTTTACAATGCAAATGCTTTTCTCTTTGTTTTGTTTACATTGATTAAGACTTAATTCTATATAATATAGGTGAGAATGATCACCTCTGTCTTGCTCCTAATCTTACATGAAAAGTTTCAAATCTTTTACCACTGATTAGACTGGATGTTAACTTACTAGATACTTTTATTATTTCGAAATAAGTTCTATTATGCCAAGTTTTCAGAAGCTTTTCATGTGTCATGAATATTGTCAAATGTATCTAATAAGAGAGTTATGTATTTTATACTTTATTCTATTAATTTTATTATCACATTTATTTATTTTTGTATATTGAATTCTTGTATCCCAGAGTGAATTCTACTTGATCTTGTAGAAATTCTTTAAGCTGCTAGTGAAATCAGTTTCCTAACATTTTGTTGAGAATTTTAAAGTCTGTAATCACGAGGGATATTGTCTTTAGTTTTCTTTAGTGCAATTCTCTATACCTGACTTCGGTGTTCAGTTCAATGGCCTTTACCAGGCCATAATGCTGACCTTGTGAAATTTGTTTTAATATATTCATCCTTATTCAATTTTTGGCAAGATGTTGACATAAAATTGATGTGAATTCTTATTTTAATAAGTAGTATAATTTAGCACAAAGCCATCTGTTCCAGAACTTTTTGCTATTGATGTAAGACTTTGATTACTGACCTAGTAGTCTTACTTGATTACTTACTTGATTACTTACATTGATCTACGGAGATCCCTGATTGATATTTTGGGCTTTATATTTCTTATCCTTTTGGTTTGGTTTAGTTTGGTTTTGGACCCAGCAGAGCTCAGTGCTTACTCCTGGTTCTGTGCTCAGGGAAAACTGGCACGCTCTAAGTATCAGATGGGGTGCTGGGGAGCAAACCCTGGCCAGTTGTGTGCAAGGCAAGTGCCTTACCCATCGTACAATAGCTCTGGCACCCAAGTTCTCTATTTCTATGAATTTAACTATCTCTTCTAGGTTGTCAAGATTATTAAAATAAGTGTTGACCAGAAAAGACCCTCGTGGCATAGTTCACTACCACAGCAGATATGGTGAGAGTTTAACTGCTTGCCTTCCGCTCCAGTGTGGTCCTTCTCAGTTTCTGTTCCAGCCTTATGGCCATGTTCTAAGATTTTCACAACGATATTATTATTTATGAATGGCTGTTATTTGTTTTCCCGGTGAAGAAAATTATGTCAGATTGACCTATATACTCTCCTAATGATGTCTCTCAGAACTAAAACTCTTAATCAAGGTACTATATTGTTTCTTAACAAGACAAATATTCTAAAATTGAGACAATAATTGGGGCCAGTAGGCCAATAGACTAGGAGTTGAACGAGTCTTCTTTCATGGGAAAGTTCACATAAAATTTTCCCTAAAATTATTTTATAACATATGACACATACATGAAAGTATTATCAACAATATCCAACAAAGTATTATCAGCAATATCAAATTTGATATAATTGTCCAAACCATTTGGAGAGGGTATGTTAAATATATTTGTGAACATGTTTGAGAAGTTAATATAAACTTTCTAAAGACTCTGACATGTAAAGAAGAAATATTTTAAAACTTTCTATATGATCATCTGGGAGAGAAGCTATTTTATATTTATCCTGAAATGTTACCATTTATGTTTCAATATTAAAAGGGAGAGTCTGGCAAACTCCTTGTGGTGTACCCAATATGCCAAATACCAGTAACAATGATGGGTCTTATTCTCCTAACCCTGGAAGAGCTTTTAATCTGGCACTTTTTAAAAAATCTCAGGGCTAGGACGAAGGAAACGTTACTGGGGCCTGCTCGAGGCAATCAACGAACAACAGGATGGTCGTGATTCGTGATTGGTGATTAAAAGGGAGTGGTTATTTATACACTGGAGCTATAACACAGCAGGTAGGGCATTTGCCTTGCACGTGACCCACCCAAGTTCAATTCCTTCGTCCCTCTCAAGGAGCCTGGCAAGCTACGGAGAGTAGTCCGACTGCACGGCAGTGCCTGGCAAGCTCCCCATGTTGTGTTCGATATGCCAAACGCAGTAACAGCAAGTCTCGCAATGTAGATGTTACTGGTGCCTGCTCGAGCAAATCAATGAACAACGGAAGGACAGTGCTACAGTTATTTATATATTAAATTGTTATAGGTCTTTTAAAAACCATTTATTTTAGTCAGTCATCTCTACCTTATTTTAGCAGTGACGGGATATTGCTTTTTAAACTAATTATCCTTTAAATTTATAGATATTTTAATTTCCATTAGACCATGGAATAATTGAGAACCTGAAGCACTAAGAAGTACTTTGAAACAATTCAAGATGAAAAGTTGGGGTACACCTACCAGGTCAGTGAAACATTTTGCCTTTCCCAGTATTCAAAGAGTGGAAAAAGATGGCATGAGGGAAAATTATAATGCTATCATTTCTCCCGAGTCACTAATATATTATTTTGTCATTCTTATGACTTTAGGAAAATCAACCCAATGACAGGTGGAAATAATACTGCAGAAATTACTATGTTCATCTTGTTAGGATTCTCAGATTTCCCCCAAATCTTAGCAGTTCTCTTCATTGTATTTCTATTCATCTATATTTCCACTCTGACTTGGAATTTGTGCCTTATTGTACTAATAAGAATGGACTCCCACCTTCACACACCCATGTACTTCTTCCTCAGTAATTTGTCCTTTATAGATATCTGTTATGTGACCTCTACAGCTCCCAAGATGCTCTCTGGATTTTTCCAGAATCAGCCAACTATCACCTTTGTGGGTTGCACTGTTCAGTACTTTGTCTTTTCAACGATGGGACTGACTGAGTCTTGTCTTATGACCGCCATGGCTTATGACCGCTATGCTGCCATTTGTAATCCACTTCTCTACTCATCAATCATGTCACCCACCCTTTGTGTGCAGATGGTGTTGGGATCCTATCTGGCTGCACTCTCTGGTTCTATATCCCAATTGTGTGCCATACTTCAGCTCCGCTTCTGTGGTCCCAATATCATCCATCACTTCTTCTGTGACATGCCCCAGTTGTTGATCTTGTCCTGCACTGACACTTTCTTTGTACAACTCATGTTGGCTATATTATCAATGATTTTTGGAATAACGAATGTTGTACTTATCGTGATATCCTATGTCTATATTGTCCTTTCCATCTTAAAGATCACTTCAGCTAGAGGCAGATCCAAGGCTTTCAATACCCGTGCTTCTCACCTGACAGCCGTCACCCTTTTTTACACCTCAAGTGTCTTTGTCTACTTAAGTTCCAGCACCGGAAGTTCCTCAGCCTTTGACAGATTCGCATCAGTGTTCTATACTGTGTTGATCCCCATGTTGAATCCTTTGATTTACAGCTTAAGAAACCGAGAAATAAAAGAAGCCATGAAGAATTTTCCAAAGAAAAGATATTGCTGAGGTGACATATCTTTTCTTTCAGAATTCCTTAGTCAACAAAAATGTACACATGAATGTACCATCACATAATTCAAATGTCTTTGGATCAAGAAAATTCTACCACAAATAATCTGCTAAAATGTACGTATATCTCAGTGAGTGCCACACAAACATCAGAGCCCTCATTCATGACCTTCGTTATTTTAAAACTACATGAGGATGTATTAATCTTCTAGCAAATGTTTGTGGGAATCTGCAGTTTAGAAATGAGTTGTTTCTGTTTCTAAGGTTGATCTTTGTTCACTCTCAAATCTTTGATACTGATACCTGACAAAGGCACCAGTTGAAAAAACCCTTGCTACTTCAGATGAAACAAAACTCGAGTATGTTTGTGATTGCTATGCACTGTTACTTGAATGAGAATAAATTGTTACGGGAGATGTGTTTTAGACAAAAAAAAAATTATTCAGTTGGCTTAGTGTCTCCAGGGAAAATCAGTGTCGATATTTTCTAAATTTGTCTAAAACCTCCTTCAGTCCTAATCATGCTACGTGGTTTCAGCTACATCCTACTCTCCATCAGTCAGAGTAAGAAAGGAAAAGGTGATTTAATTTTTTAAAAAATTGAATCGCTCTGAGACACAGTTACAAAGTTGTTCGTGATTGGGTTTCAGTCATAGAATGTTCCAACACCTGACCCTTCACTAGTGTACATTTCCCACCAATGTCCCCAGTTTCCCTCCTGCCCCTGCCTCCACCAGCTGCCTCTATAGGCATATATATTTTCTCTCTCTCTCTCTCTCTCTCTCTCTCTCTCTCTCTCTCTCTCTCTCTCTCTCTCTCTCTCTCTCTCTCTCTCTCTCTCCCCTTCCCCTTGGGCATTATGGTTTTTCAACCCAGGTACTAAAAGCTTCTCATGTATATCCCTTTATCTCTTTTCAACACTCAGTTCTTGTCCAAAGTGATCATTTTCAACTATCATTGTCATAGCAGTTTCTTCTCTTTCCTAACTGCCCTCCCGGGTTTCTACTGGTGGCAAGCTTCCAATCATGGACCAGTTATTTTGGCCCTCATTTCTACTGTGCTTGAGAAGGTGATTCGAAGAATAAAGAGGAGTTATGGGAAACCGTCACTGACTTATAATTTAATTTCTTGCATCTAGTGTCTAGTGGTAATTTCTGATTTTAAAATATGCAAATTTCACATCATAGGTAACAGTTTCTGATATTGTATGACTTAAAACATCTCTCTTCCATTACATGTTGAAAATGTAGCCTGGTTTGGTATGGGGAGTTGGATCACACTAATAATTTTTGATAATTCAAGCAATCAACTCTGTTTATCATGAGGAAACTTTCCTGAGAGGTCTCTGTAATAAATGAATAATAGAACATTCAATATTGCAGACTATGGAAAAACCGATATGCCCACTTTTCTATTGTCTAGTCAATATTTTCTGTGCTAGAAATTTGTAGTTAGGTGAGGTGATATAACGGGCACAGTAGACTGGCTAGATTTACTTTAATGCTATTTCCTGGAAACCTCAAGATTTCCCAGGAGAGGAAATAGATACTGGAATAAACAAGGTTTTCAACTCTGACCAGCTTTTGCTGTATAAAGAGGATAAAAAGTCGTGATCCTTGAGGTCTGGTTTAAAAGAGAGCAGAGTGTGCAACCTCATTGACTACTTAATTCCAGATTTTCCAATTTTGAACTAATATATAGCAGATGCAATTATAGTTCCATATTATCCCTTGTTATTTATTCAATTTTTCGATCTTTTAGGGTCTCAAATTTATGAGTCACATAAATTATCCTGCTTAATTAAAGACTATAAGATATTTGAAGACTTTGTCAAAACTTTCATGAGTTTACACATGGAAAAGATTGAGAGGAAGGGAGTTTTGGACTTCCGTGAGAAAAATGTGTGGGCTTAGAGTCGAGAGAAAAATGTAATATGAATAAAAGTTGTATGATAACTTCAACCAAGTTAGGCATGATCTATGAGGCATTGTTCTTGAATATGTATGAATGTGTAAGAAATGTATTTCTGAAGGGAGAGATGGGGGCTAATATAGAAGACCGATTTTCACTTGTTTATAATACAGTGTTGCTGATTATAATCATGATGTGCTTTAGAGAAAATACAAAAATTGGGAAAATCCATTTAAAGGGTACAGGCTAACTAATAAAGAGAAGTAAGTTTTAGCAATGTTTCAAAGAGTATGTTCAAGTACACACCTTCTAAAAATGTCATCCCAATTTTTTTGCCCCTAGATCCTGGTAACCATTTTATTTTGTTTCTGTGAAAATGGACTTTTATATTTAATATACTAATTATATCATATGGTTTTGTTATTTTCTGTCCAGTTCAGCTCACTGAGTATAATGCTGTCAAGTTCTATAATAGTAGTCACAATTTTATACCATTTTTTTCTCCTGTGGTTGAATACTATGTTGTATACCACATCTCCCTTATCCATTCTTCCACTGGCAGTTTCTATACTTTGGCTACTATAAATAATGATAAATAAGGGCTGGAGCGATAGCACAGCGGGTAAGGCATTTGCCTTGCACGCCGCTGACCCAGGTTCGATTCCTCTGCCCCTTTCAGAAGGCCTGACAGACTACTGAGAGTATCCCGCCCGCATGGCAAGCTACACATGGTGTTTTCGATATGCCAAAAACAGTAACGAGTCTCACAATGGAGATGTTACTGGTGCCCACTTGAGCAAATCAATGAACAATGGGACGACAGTGCTACAGTGTTCACACATTGGAAATAATTATACAGTACACGAGGAGTACAGATATATTTTAAATATCTTCTTTTCATTTTATTTGATTATGTACTCAGAAGTCAAATTGCTAAATTATGCAGTAGTTGAGCTTTTAATTTTTGGAGCAAACCATCTGGTTTTCATAGTAACTAAACAATTTTGTCTTCCCCATAAATGAAATATAAGGCTGCCTTTTTCTCCATATTATAACCAAAATTTTTCATCTTTAGTTCTCTTGATGATAGACATTATAACAGATGTAAAATTATATATCATTTTGGTTTTAATTTTAATTTCTCTAATAACCTGTGACATGGATCATCTATTATGTTCTTATTGACCATTGAGATGTCCAGTGTAGCACTGTCTTCCCATTGTTCATCGATTTGCTCAGGCGGCCCTGTAATGTCTCCATTGTGAGCTTTCTTGTTACTGTTTTTAGCATATCGTCCATTTAGAAAAATATACATTTCTTTCCTATGTCCATTATTAAGTTGAATTGCTTGGCTTTTTGTATTATTTGTTACTGAATTGGAAAACGTCTTTATATAGTTTGGCTATTACCCCCTTAACTGAAAAATTGCTTAGAAATAGTTTTTCTAATTTCTAAGGTTGCCTTTTCAATGTTTTGTTTACTGTTGTCAAATTTTTAAATCAACATCTTGTATTTTGGGTTTTGTACAGTTGGTAGGGTGCTTGACTAACATGTGACCAACCTGAGTTTGATCCCTGGCACCCTATATTGTTCCCCAGACCTGATGAGAGAGATCTCTGAGCACAGAGCCAGGAGTAAACCCTAAGTACCACCAGTTGTGGCACAGAAAAACAAAATCTAGTATTTTCCACTGAATATTCTTTTACTTCCCTAATAAATTTATTCCTAAGAATTTTATTGTTATAATCTGTTGTGAGTAAGAAGTTTAATTTTTTGTCAGGTGTTTTGCTACTTGTGTGTTGAAACTGAACTGAATAATACACATTTATTTGATACAAAATTAATGTCATGCAACACATTCACAGTCACGGTCACAGTTCTCCCGTTGTTCATCGATTTGCTCTAGCGGGCCGAGTCTCCATCGTGAGACTTGTTGTTACTGTGTTTGGCATATGGAACACATCACGGATAGTTTGCCAGGCTTTGCCCTGCGGGCGAGATGCTCTCGGTAGCTTGCTGGGCTCTCTGAGAGGGGTGGAGGAATCGAACTCGGGTCGGCCATGTTGGCTGCGTGCAAGGCAAATGCCCTACCCACTGTGCTATTGCTCCTGCCCACACATTAGTCACAATAATAGCATTTCCTTTTCTCCTGTGGTTGAATGATATTATATTATAAATACCACATCCTTCTTGTCCATTTATCCACTGTTAGTTTCTATATTTTGGCTACTATAAACAATGATGCAATACACATAAGGGTGCAGATATATTTTAAATATCTTGTTTTCATTTTCTTTGGTCATTTTATCAATCTCTTAATCTAGTCTAGTGTTTTCTATAGAAATATAATGTCATATTAAAATAATGATTCTCCATTTCCGTTTTCCATTTTAAAGGCTTATGTATGGTAGCTTTCAACCATTGGCCAGTTTTCCCAAACCTTGAATATTAGTCTGTGGAGGGCAGTTAGGACAGAGAAGAAACTCTTATTCTCCCCATCCATCTCAAAAAAGTTTTATTTATTTATTTATTTATTTTGCCTATAATATATATATTTTTTAATTTTTATTAGTGAGACACCATGAGGTACAGTTGTAAACTTACAAATTTTGTGCTTTGGTTTCAATTATACAATGACCAAATACCCATCCCTCAACCAGTGCCCATTTCCCACCACCACGGATCCTAGTATCCCTCCCACCTCCCATCCCCCCCATCCCACCCTGCCTCTGTGGCAGGGCATTCCCCTCTGTTCTCTCTCTCCTTTTGGGTGTTGTGGTTTGCAAAAGAGGCACTGAGTAGCAATCATGTTTGGTCTATAGTCTACTTTTAACTTTTATTTTGTAGCTTATTCTGATTGGTGTGCAGTGATATTGCATTACCATGTTGATTTGCAATTCCCTGACAATCAGTAATGTGATAAGAATATTTCATTTTCCTGTGGACATATGCATGTTTTTCCATTTTGTTTGTATTTTTGTTTCATAGGCTATTCTGGCTCTGCATTTAGGGATCACTCTTAGTGTGGTTTGGATTATATGTGGTGCCAGAAATTGAACTTGGGTTAACCTTCCCAAGTGCCTTACC